TGAAAGCAACATTTAACAAAATAAGGGTTTTGTGCAAAAGAAAGTCTCTTAAAATCTGTTATTTTACATCTCTGGAAAGGACTTAACAGAACATACTGCAGTTCAAACACCAGCAGAGTAAGAAACCCAAGATGAAATGTACCTCACAGAATGTAAATTGCATTTTTGCATGAGATGTCTGCTGCAGGTGTTAAGCAGCAGATGTACAACATGGCCACAGGAGGTCCTGCTCTCCTCAAATATCCTGCGGAAGAGTTGATGCCGTTTGAGAAATCAGGGAGTAAATGCTGCGGCAGGAAACTCGACGCAGTTCGGTGGTAGTTTAGTCTCTGCAGCATGGCTTCTCCTGCTCCAGTCTCACGCTACCTGTAGCTCAGACAGCACCGGGAGCTCACTTTGTCTTTCATCTGTCAGCGGGTAAGTTCCGTCTTTTATTATGAAATATTCTCCATTTTTAGTTGCAGCAATTTCGATCCGGAGTTTAAATGTAAGAAGTTGTTTCTTTCGTAATCCATGAATGTCAACACACCTTAATTCGTTTGTCTAGCTTGTTTTAAGGTGACACTTTTCAGGACCTGACTATGAAGATATGGATATATTAAAACTTCTTTTAGAGTTGTATTTTCCCCATATAATGAACTCATATACATGTTTCATGAACATACACCAGAAAAAAATCAACTTGTAACTAAATTAAGTATAACTTTGCCACAACATATTTTACTTGTGTCACCCTTTTTATAAACATTCCTATTTTAGGTTACATTGTCATAAAACCTGTCAAGAGACATATGTACATCCTCAAAAGTGGCTTGATTATGTGAAATAATGATAATCTGTTCAAGAAATCTCGCATTACATCTGTCCTCTGACTGAACCAGCTGCAGTGCACATCTGGATGTATCGGGCCAACGTTTAGGATCCAGGTTGCCAGTCTGGTTTCAGTCCCTCTCTTGGTGAACATTGTATATTCAGCTCTACTGAATGTGACACTTACTACTTTCCTTCGGCTGTATCTGCTTGACTTTCACTGACAATCTGGAGAAGACTTGAGAGTTGCAGTGAGACATCAGTGGCGTTTTTTTGTAGTGGAAACGTGATTTAACTGTTGCCCAACAGGAGCGTGCTGCAAGCTTGAAGCCAGATGGTTGGCACTGTAAATGAGAACATGACGCCCATAAAGCTCTGAGGTCTGGAACTGGTCTGTCTTGTGGTTTTTAGGCAGTTTGGTTGAGTCTGATCAAAGGCCAGTTGATCCCTGCTGTTTCCACTTTTGCAGGATGTAGAGAAGTGATCTGAGAGTAGAATTATGACATTTATTGTATTGTCATCTGCACACAATGTGATGTTTAAAGCCAAACAGCAGCTGGGCTCGGCTGGTGCCTGCAACCCACCCACAAACACAGCCACTATAATTTCTATGAGGTAGGATTTTCAGGTATTGATCTTGAAATCTCGCTGTCGCTGCTGTCTAGACATCAAAGTGTGGCAGCTTGCTTTGCTGCCGGATGATTGTGGGTTAACCGGACAGGGTATGTGCATGCTGTGGATCATCATGTAAAACCTCCAGGTGATGTTTCATGAGTCAGCAGCTGTTGTTGTTGATGCTGACACATTGTATTTTCATGGTAACCAATGTCTCAAAGCTGCAGAAAGGTTCATTCCCTTCCAGGGAGTGTAATCCGTGATGATGCTGAGAGGATGCTGTCATTGCTAATGTCATCCTCTGGCTTCATGTTTCCCATTACAGCAGACAGTAAGATGCAGCTACGACTGTGCTGACCAGCAGCAGCTCAAACAAGTCACGACACTGGACAGCTGACTGGGGTACATCTGCATCCTCATGCATTCACACTTGTGTCATTGCTAATGTTTTACTTTGCGTGTCGCCACGAGTTAGTTGTAGGTTGTTGGTTGTGGTTTGGGCTGTTTCTAGCTCTCTGATAGTGTTCGTGTTTGCAGCTGCGGCCTGGAAGTGATTCTGGCTCAGCGTGTGAGTTGGTAACCCAGCCTCAGTGTGCGATGTGTGGACCTGCCTTGTCCCTGTGTCTGCTGCTCTGGATGGTGGGAATGGGAGTTCCCGGGACGCAAGGTACGTTCTGCATCCGTTTGGTGCTTTTTTGGTTTTGGTGAGAGAGAAAGATCTAACTCTAGTGAGTTCAGTTTCCCTGGTACTGAGTTCTCTTGGCAGTGATGGCAACTATAACTAAGTACATTTACTTCAGTTCTTACTTATTGTTTTCATTTTCTGCTACTTTATACTTCTACGGCACTACATTTTAGAAAGTACTTTGTGTAAAGTGAAGGACTTTAAATTGTACTGGAGTTTTCATTACATTATTGTATCGATACTTAAGTTAATGTTCTCAGTACCTCTCTCACCACTGTATTACATGAAATTTAAATGTCATATGGTCTCTGAACTCAGGTCAGGTCACGGCTCCTGCCAGTCTGAGGGCAGAGATAGGTGAGTCCCTGCTGCTTGGCTGCAACGTCAGCACGGAAACGGGCGGAACCGTCCGGCAAGTGCGCTGGCTCAACAGGCACAACAAGGTCCTGCTGGCGTACCAGCCAAACGTGCCGGTGGTCGTCAGCCATCAGGAACCCGACGTGCAGCTCACCGCCTCCCACAATGACGCCAGCTACATCACCATCAAGAGGGTGCAGCCTGATGACGAGGGCTGCTACCGATGCATCTTTGATGTTTACCCTATTGGCCCGCTGGAAGGCACCACGTGCATCAGCATCACTGGTCAGTCTGAGTTCAAATCTCATCTAAAGTTTACTTCCAGAGATTCCCGTTGTGTCAAGAATCTACTGGCCAAACAACTTAATCAGAGTTGGCGCCTCACATCTGTTATCTTAAAGAACACGTTATCTTCAATAAACATCTTTTAGTGCTGCAGCTCACACTCAACATGTGAAACTTTTTAGGGTCACAGAGGGTGTTTGTTTTTCTCACTAGACCCATTATGAGACAGGAAGTAGTAGGCTTGGGTTTGAACTAGCAGACCAGCAGGGGGGGGAGCCCACCCACCCAGCTAGCCTTGGCACTTCCTGTTGTTCCTAAAAAATGTGGACACACATTTTTAATGAAATCCAGCCTCCTCCTGTTGCACACAAGCAGAAGTCCTGTAAAGTTTTTATTGCACAATTTGAGGCCAGCAGAAATCCACATCCAGTCATCTTCATTTTCCTGATATTAAGATTAATACCAGGAGCATCCTCTTTGTCCCAGGCAAAGTGCACCTAGAGGGCAACAAGACGGCCGTGAGCGGGATGCCGGCCACCCTCTCCTGCTGGTACAACCTCCCCGAGAGGGTGCTTCAGGTGCTGTGGAGGAAGACGGCCGAGCAGGGAGACACCACCACCGTGGCCTCCTTCACCAAGCGCGGCCACCAGAAGACCGAGGAGCAGTACAGGGGTCGGGTTAGCTTGAGCCGGACCCTGGGCGACACCCAACTGACCATCCAGGCGGTCAAGACGGAGGACGAGGCGTGCTACACCTGCGAGTTCCACACATACCCAGACGGCAGCAGAAGAGACACCGCCTGCCTGTCTGTTTACGGTGAGCACCTGAACTATCTTTAACACTGTATGCAAGGTAGGTGTTTGGATCTATCATCTAAAACGCACATTACCACGGCTTTCCAGTTTGTTCTCTTTGCGAAAAGATTTATTATTTTATTACTAGTTTGCAATGACTGTCTCTACTGTAGATTGGCCTTCGTATAAATACAAAAAAGTCAACAACAAAATACATACAGAACAGCATAAAAACTAAATTGTTTTATTAATAAATTCGTTTTTGAGGAGCTTTAAAGAAACAGTTCTGTCTGATACAAACACTGAACACCTTCGGGATTATTTTCCTAAGGATCTTGACGCGTATTGTACTGGAAATATACTGTAAGCTGACAGGAAATGTGTGCTACTGTGTGTGTGCGCATCCCAGACATAGCTCAGGAAAGGGAAGGAAGCTCTGTGGATAAACAAACCCTGAGGTGAGAGTTTCTCGAGTGGGTCATTCAACTACTGTTTTGGTGACGGCGCTTCGCGACCCTCGCCAACACTCAGCCGCGTCCTCTTCCTCCCCTCACTGTGCCACCTCGTTAAAAAGAGCACAACCTTTCTGACTTTTAGAAGTCGTCAGCAAACGTTCCAGGACTGTGAGTGGCTGTTGATCTTCCTCCGTGTGTGTGTGTGTGTGTGTGTGTGTGTGTGTGTGTGTTTTGGGGTGATAATGTTGACAGAGGGAGGGTGTCACTGAGGGGAAAGGGGTGATTAATTTGGGAGAAAGCCCAGGGGATGAGTGGCTCACTGTTTCCCCAGACACAAGGCCTCAGTGTGTGTGTGTCCTTCTCCTCGCTCTGCTACATACAAACACAACCACACAGAGTTAGTAAAAGCTGCTTTGCCTCTGTTTTCTGGCGGCCCGTCGGAGGACAACTTGTGTTATTGTGTCCTGGGGGGGGAGAGATTAACAGGCGATGTGCCCTGTCTCTCCATCTCTGCTTTCTGTTGTCTGTGGTTGGCAAGCTCGGACAAAATACAAACAGGCTGCAATTATCACGGAGAAAAAAACCAACATATGCTCAATTTGACTGAAGCAGCCACTGAACACAATCTTTCTCTCACCAGTTTTACCCAAACCAGAGGTGAGTCACGTGACCTCGCCCTCGGGGGTCGCTGAGGCAAACTGCACCGCCCGGTCCCGACCTGCAGCGGAGATCACGTGGAACATCGGCGGGGACAACCAAACACTTGGACCGCCCATTTCATCCGCCTACGACCAGGGCGACGGCACGACGCTCGTGACTAGCACGCTGTTCTTCCAATCAGCGCTGCTCAATGAGCTGTCCGCCAAGTGCTTCGTGCACCACCCGGGTTTGGAGAAACCCCTGACAGTGTCCCTCAACACAAACAGTGAGGAGCTCGTAGATCCTGTTCTAAGGAGTCCAATTAATCTTTTCTCTGATGTCACATCTTATCATATTACCGCAGTTAGAAGTCACAAGTGCAACGACCTTTCCTTTTAGTCCAGATGTGATAAAGCATAAACAGTGATTTAACTATAAGTGTGTGTGTCTGTGTGTGTGCTGCAGTGGGTCCAGCCATGGTCATCCTCCTCTCAGTGTGCGGTGTGGTAGCGGTCCTCCTCCTCTGTCTGTGTGTGTGTCTCTGCAAGTGCTTCATCTGTACTGACGGTGAGTCCCGACTCTTCACCTCCCACATTCACTCCTTCAAGCCACATTCACTCATGAACGACTTGACAAAATGTATTAACAGTTTCTGTCCACATTTGTATGGGTGCCATTTAATACAATTTCATTTAATCCACCTAAAACAGTACCGGTGAATTACAGAGTGTTTGCAGCAGCTGTGGGCAGCAAGGTCACGCTTGTTCTCTTGTGGTTTTCCAAAGGCATTCCGGGAAGTGCACAGGGTTGTTGCAAAAGAGTACATTACAGCATGTCATCAAAAATGAATGTAACTCCTGTTATGAGAAGGTGGATGTTTTCTTTTGAGGCTGCCACAGCTCAGGAAAACGTGGGTGAAGAAAGGGAACCTAAACTGCTTCAGAGTTCAGCAGAAAACTGAGGTTGTTGTAGGAAGCTCTCAGGAGCGACTGTAACTGTAAAAACCGGCCGAGCATTTTGAGTTTTCTTCTCTATCGTGGGACAAAAACACTGTTATGATGAAGTATTTCTACTGGTTACATAAACATCGAGAGCATGGTGGAGCATTTAACAGCTAAAAACAGAGCTAAAAGGACTCATGTTTACAATGTTTACTGAGGGAATAAATCAAGAGAGAAGTCATATTCTCATAGACTTCTTAACAGACTCATTTTGCGACCAGAGAAGTCGCCCCCTGCCGGATTCAGTCACTCAGCTTTGGCTTCACTTTTCAGACCCGCAGGTTGCTGCCTGGTAGTTCAGTACAGTACAAAAGTTTGGAAAGAGATCTCAGAGGAAGTGAATGCGCTGCGTGTTGGTAAAGTAAGAGTGAACAGGTGCGTCGTCACCATGAAATACCTCACGTTGCTCTGAAAACACACATTTGAAAGGTCAACGGGGCTCTCGGGAACTCTCCACATCGAGGTGGCATTGCTTACTCGTGTGTCACAAACGCTCTCCTGACTCCCGTTAACACCTTTCCCACAATGCTCTCCGGGTGTCGTGGAAACAGTGCGGTGCCAGCGTAATGTGGCGTGTGGACCGCAGCCCATTTCCCCTTTATCTTAAATTCTCTGCCCACCGAGGAAGAGGCAGGGGAAAGCCGAAGTTATCGCGGCAATGACAGAAGCCTTGGCTGACAGAAGCCTTGGCTGACAGAAGCCTTGGCTGACGTCGGCGCTTCTGCCGGCCAAACAAAAGTCGTAAGGGGAGAAAAACAAAAGTGGGAGCTGACGCGTCGAGGTCAGCGCGGTCCCACGGATAATCTCGATTTGGTACTTGTGAGCAAACCGGAGCCATAAGAGAAATCCCAACTAATAAAGTTCTTCTAGAGCAATTAATTTCCCAAAAAGATTTAAGAGTGTCCTTTTCCCCGCTCAGCTCCTCCTCGTCTTTGTTTTCTTGTACGATAAGAAAGTAGAGGGCACATACGCCCAATTTCCTGATGTCTCAGAGATGGAAACACGCAGACACGTCGCTTTAATTTATTCGTCACCTCCCCACGTCAAGCTCCAAATTCCACATTCGCCCGCAACAAAGGCGTGTTTGTGTTTTTCTCACGTCCCAAATGTTTCAGACGGTAAGGGACACTCTTGTCATCTTAAATACTGTATTTGCATGTGATTGATGGTGTTGAACCAGAGCTTGCTCAAGCATCTGTGGGATATCTTGAATAGATGGCAGCTGGGTCACTGCAAAAATAGATTTTTCTCAGAAATAAAACAGCTTCCGTTTGCTTGAGACTTTCCACATTGCTTGAAAGTCTTTCCTCATTTTCAACTGCGTGGATCCTGAGTGGAATACAAAGTGGTTGTGCTGATTGTTGTGAGTTAGCAGCCAGAATAAAAGACCCTCTTTCTTTTAATCCTTTGGACTGTGGGGGAAGACAGACATTAGAGGCCTGGAGGAGGGAGCAGTGACAAGGAGGAACACGGCTCAAAGTTGAGATCCTGCCCAGTTGATAACAACACTCGACTGTAGAGACACACGCGTGCTGTCTTTCCCAGCCTCTGCTTGGCTGAAGTGTGCCGGGAACACAGGCTTTTACTGTGATGTGATTCAGATTTCAGTTTAAGCGAGGAGAGCTGTGATGCCTCAGTCCTTATTTGGAGAAAGAACACAAACACTGAAATTTGTCATTTGTCAGTACTTTCATTTTGTACTGCAGTTGGTGGCAAATATCTCAAATATTGGGACGAAATACTGTAAAACAAAAAACTCTCTGCATGACATACACCACTAAAGGGGGGAATGCTTTTGTTGTAACGTGGGTGAACTGACCCTTTAAGACATCACAGAGATACGGTGCATTTAAAGTGTGGCGGAGATGTTCCGGCCTGAAAAGTTGTGATGTCTGCGGCCCAAGTTGAACCGCGAGCCGGCCACAAATAGGTCCCTGTGGTTCCCTCCTGAATCAGTGGGCGTAATTCGGCCTTCAATCATGGCTGGGAAATAGGGCCGAGGTTCTTCCAGTAAAATGCTGCTCGTCTATTTGTGTTTCCGTGTTTTTTGTGGTGTGGCCAGGGTTGAGATGTACAGACTATAAGGTGCAGTGGTGGCACAGCTTCAAGAGCAGGGAGTTCACCTCAGATAAGACGCGTTTATTCATGAAAGCCAATGTTTTCAGTGGCACCTTTTAATCTGTAGCACCACAGGAAGCATGGGGGAGCAGCCACACCCGGCCATGAGGGCAGAAGTCAACTGAACACAGATTGCTCCTCAGAGATTAGACATAGGAAAACACAGCGCACCTTGTGTGTTAACAGGATGCTCGTGACACCTGCTGCTCGCACTGCACTCTCTTTTTCAGTCGCATGTTGTGGCCTCTGCAGTGTTTGATTGATTTTCCAGGTCCTTCTGCCACACACTTAACTTGCCACTCTCGCTCTAATTGGCTTTTTTTTCGGACCACATGTGTCGATTCAGCTTACTGGCTGAGTGGGCCACCGCGAAATAACTCGCATTGCTGCCACATGCACACTGAGGAGTGGCAGGCCGTTAATCACGGCGGAGGAATTCCTGTAGTGTTTCATTATTTTAACTTGTTGGAGCTGTAATCTTCATTGTTACAAATCAAAAATAGGATTTATGGCCTGTCCTGTTCGCATTTAGCTGCAGAGAGCTGCTAGCGTGACTCTTCGTCTTTTTAAGATTTATGTCAAATTATTATAAAGAGTTGGAGAAGATGATACCTTTTATTCTATTATTATAAATGTCACTGCTCAACCTTTTACCGGTGGAATCTCAAGGGGCGCTCTGTCAGGAAAAGGGTGTCACAGGACATCCAGACTGCTGAGGAAGGATTTGTGTTGATTAATGAAACATTGTGGAAAGTTTCTGACCAACTAACAAGTGTGTCTTTTCTCTCTTTTCTCTCTTTTCTCTCCGTCCAGACTGATTCGGAGGCCCGACGTCGCCGCTGCTTTAATGAAGGTCCAGCGGCGCTCTGAGCCTGACCTAGCTGCTCAGCACCGTGCCCTCCAGCTCAGCGAGCAGAAGAAGGGAACAGAGCTTTTTACAGAACAGAGCCAACGCTGCTGGTTCTGCTTCCACGAGCTGGGCATGAAACACATTTCTTTTGACATTTACCACAACGTAAACAGAACTAAAACCACATTATTTAATGCTACATGTTACACTTACAGTATAAAGTGTAGTGATGGTTGTGTGTGTGTGTGTGTGTGTGTGTGTGTGTGAGATCAATTCTCAGATGTGATAAGTTATATATGTATATTTTTTCTATTACCCAATTAGTGGAGTCAGTGAGACAACCATTTTTATAAACTATTGTAGAAAAGAAGGATGATTAAAAGGACGCTGTGCCAATACTGAGCTAGACTTACAAGTTACAGGAAAGGAGGCTAAAATCTGACTTTTAGTGAACCAGCCCTGCTGTGACTCAGACTGAAAGGATGTATTTGAGTGGGGAATAATGAAAGGTTTGTTATTTATAGCTGCCGTGTTGCGCGGGACAGAGAAGGGTGGTCGACTTGTAAGCTTCGCTCGGTGGTTAACACTGCCTCAACAATGAACCCTGCAGCTGTGAATCACTGTTTGAGTGAGACGGAGTGTGTGTTGTGACATTGTTGTACAGTATTTCATGACTTACAGAGCCGCGCTGTAGGAAACACCAGTGTTACAATCTAACTTTTTATGGGCTGTGTAGAGCATAGTAAGGTTTGTTGAAAATATCATTTTAATCTCATTTATCAGGAAAAAATATTTTCTAATAACAAGTTGTTGGATGGTTATTCAGTAATTACCTGTATATAAAGAGGATTATAAGGATTAAATGTTAATAAATGCCTATATTGAAGTTAAAAAAATGTTTCTTTCTTTCTTTCAGTGATAATAATAATCACATCTTCAGTATTCACCTTTTTTAATATCTGTAAGACTTGATAACTAGTTTGCTTTTAAATAATCTGTCTTTTGGAGATATTGATGACGAATAATCAAAAGTTTTCCTTTTGAATAATTCCTCAAATTCCTAACTGAACTCTCCGAAGCGGCTTGGATTCTTCAGACATTGTTGGGTTGTGATGTTTGTGGACTGTGGGTGGTACAGACACCAACATGTTTCACAATACGAAACTCATTTCTTCCACAGCCCACTCCAGTGACTTTACTATTTCACTCTCAGACCTTGTGAGTGGCACACCGGCGTCTTCATGCCTTTTTCTATAATGATCTATCACTAATGTCAATATTTAAAGCTTGAAATATCCCTAAATTAACACACGTCCGGTTCCACAATTGAGTCTCACGCTCAAGCAATCATCTGAAAAACACATTGCAAAGTAATTGTCGGCATGAAATTAAAGCACTTCATGAGCACGAGTATGTTTTTGTAATGTTTATTTAAGTCAGCACTTGACTTCTCCTCAAACTGAATTATTCATCCTGTTTTGGAAATGAAACCTGAATTGAACCATTGTAACGTTTCCCCCAAAGACATTTTTTTTCGCGCTTACAGTTTCCACAAACCTCACAAAGACAGGAAAGGGAAAGTAGTTCCTTTGTCGCTTGGAGGCACTTGACATATTTATTTTTTATTTATAGCAAATAATTGGGACTATCAATAAAAACAGCAGGGCTCATCTGGAGGAAACTGCTAACCTTGAGTGGACTTCACGATAAAATCCCTTTTGTTTTGGTCCCTCTGTGGTTTTATGGAGTCACACTGGTCAGATATATTAATATGAAGTATTTGGCTGGTTCCGTTTTGAGTTCAGAATCCAGAGTTTTACTCTTACACCACTAGATGGTGACCATGTGCATTTTCAAGTTGTCCCATCTAAATTTCTCCACTTCCACTCCCCTTAAATAACACAATGAAGAACCTAGCATAGCTGTTAAGACGCAGAAGCTTTTATACTTCCTTGTCTCTAACTCTAAAGGGGCAACGAGCCACTCTCCACCCATGTGTCACATCATGGGTGGTGGGCGATGCAGATTGTTGGGTGGGGTGTTTGTGTGCAAGTGTGTGTGAGTGCCTGTGCAAGCAATGTGCTTTTAGCACTTTTAAAACCACACATGCCACAGGCCACGCTCACTCCTCGAGCGTCTTGCAGCCCTGCGCTTGTACACGGCAGACTCCCTACTGTCACTGCCTCACTCTCCACGTATTTGACAAATCAGTTTTGAACTCTGTTTTGGGCCATTTAACCAGCTGCAAAATACCCTCCTTCGACACGGCCTCTGTGGATGATAAAAGTCTTCAAAACAGGCAACAATGTGGTGACTGTCTTGTTGCCGCAAAATCCTCTAAAATCAAGAGGCTGCTCATTTAGTGTTAAATATATATATAAATGTAACGTCATTGCATGCTAGATTTCAAACATATCATAGGAAGATAAAGCATCTGTTCTCTCTCTCTCTCTCTCTCTCTCTCTCTCTCAGAACTCCGCTTCAAAATCATGTTTTTATTTCCAGTAATACTCGTATTGCCATGTTTGTTCTTGTGCACTAATTTTAATTTACATTCCACTATCTCTTGATATATGACAAATGATGTTATCTTATTGTCTATAACAAGTATTTTGTTGTAGGAATGAAACGCTTCATGATCTTTTAGAATCAAACTTAACACGATGGAGGCCCATGGAGAGTTTTGGTTCACTTGTCATCGACACTGTAGCGGGTTTCAGTCTGAACTGAAAGGTGCCATTTCCTGGATTCAGAGTGGGAGTTGATCGTGTGATGAGCTGAACTACAACAACAAGAAGGTTTCCCCCCCTGTCCGAGTGCACCGAACATGTGCTTTAACATCTCTCCGTTAAATGTGAGTCATACTCAAATGTGGAAGACAGTAATTCATTCGCACCTTGGACTAGTTTCGGTGTCAAAACGTGGGAAATGTCCAGGTAACGCAACCCTCCCTGCAAGATTATCAGCATAAAAGCCTCATTAAGTTTGGCGTGCAGAAACAGCCGTTTAATAGGATGATGAATTCCTCAGTAAATATTAAAGATGGAGACTTATTTCAATTTTTTTCTATCTCGCCATCTTTCTGATGGATTTCAATGTAACTCCGTACAGCTAATCATGGTCCCCAGAGGATGAATCTTTATTGCAAAATGTGTATTATTTGCTGTAAAACAACTTCCAGCCTTTGTGTTTACACATGTGACGTGTTGTTTAATTCTGCTTCCTGTTCGTCAGTCTGTCTGCTCCCAAATGCACAACAGATACTGTCCCCAAGAACAAAAGCTACTGCAATCAAAGTAGTGCGTAACATAAAAATACACACACACACACACACCAGTATAGATATAGAGACGTTTATAAAAAGGATACCTGCACAAGACGTGTGAACATAGTTACCTTTACAGGAAACAAAACTATTTACCTGTAAATGTGTTGCATTCTGCACACCTACACTGCAAGAGCTCAACAATAGTGGTTTCTCATGTGAGAAGTTTCACTTCTGTGCTATTGCACTTTGATTCACAGTAATACAAATGCACAACACGGAGTCTACAGCAATATTCATTGTTATTCAGGACAGAAAACACATCATTATGCAAAAAAAATCCTCATATTTTGTCAATGTAAAAAACGTTTTTGAAGGCCGTGAAAACCCAATCAATAAAGCATGCTGCATATAAATACAAAGCATGATCATGAAGCCAACTATTGAGAAACACAGATCAGTAAATATGAGAACAAATCAGATACAAGTGTCTTGTAATCTTGAAATGAATGCAATAATAATGCAATTTAACTGAGCGGATTGATTTCAAGGCACGGCTGACTGTTCTCATAGATGGGAGATGGAGGCAAAGCATCATGGGAGGGCTGGCGGCTCGGTGTGGCCCTGCATTTTCCTGCACAATTGGATTGAGAGGAAAGATTAGTTGTTGTTCCCATAATCCTTTTAGTGAATATGTGCTGTATTATAGTCATTCTTGTTGTTTTCTTTTTTACTCTTTTGTTTTTTCAGATTAGACCTTCAGCAGCAAGTCTTCTGCAACAACTGTATGTGAAAATTCAGAAATGTCTCACCTTTACACTTACGTCTTGATGCAACACATAAAGTTAGCATCATGATGAAAAACACAGTGATCCCGACCGCACGGAACACAAATGGCCAGAAGGTGTCCTCCGTCACTGCAAGATAACAGAGGACATTTGATTAAGCATCATGTAAAGGAAACGATTCATGTGTAACAGCGATACCATTGTGAGAGAGTGAATTAAGTTCTTTTACCCAGCTCTGAAGTCATCACTGCAACGGTGGTGAGCTGACCTGAAAAGCATTCCGATTGTTTATTCACCACATAAAAGTGACATATCTTCAATCAGGCACAATGTGAACACAGGTTTCTTCGGTCAGACAGAGTACATGTACAGCCATAGATCTTCTGAGGGTTTCTGATCCAAAGTTCTTCCTGCTAGAAGAAGAGGAAGTTAACATGAATGTGTTTGATTCTAAGTAATAAAGGCTACTAGTGTTTGAAGAATTTAGATTCAAATGAAATGTCAGTTTCACCGCACAACACTAGTTTATTTTTACTTGTGTCATTGTTCTTTGTAACATTGGTACCCCCACCATCACCTATAAAACAAAGCACAGCAGCAATGTTAAGTGTCATGATATGAAGACAGACATTTTGTTAAAATGTATTAAGTAGCAGTTAAAAGTCTCACTCACCGTGGACAGAGACGTTGATGAAATGACTGACACGTCCTCCACCTTGACACTGATACGCACCTGAGTCGTTTCTGCGTACCTTTTGAAAGATCAAAAATGATCTCCCTTCGAGATGTTTTAAAAGTTTCCACTCCGTTTTAATGTGACTGCTGCTGCTCACGTTGACGGGGACATTAGATGTCTCACTTTTGTACCAGGAGACTGTAGGCGGTGAACCGCTGCAGAATTCAACAGTGCAGTGAATCCGAAGGTCTTCTCCGAGGAAAGCTTCATAAACAATGTCTTTAATGACTTTAACTTCAACTCCACAATCTGATTCTTCACCTGCAAAAATAAAATTTAAAAAAAGCGATGCTAATTTTATGTAAATTCTACTGGCTGAAATGTAAATAATGAAAATGCAATGAAAAGTATGCAGAATATTTTCTATCAACCATAACAGATCCTCCTGATGTGCAAACAATTACCCAAGATCACTCCATTATAGCATCAAAGACCCACTTTCTTTACATTCTGTCAGTTTAACAGCCATTCATTGATTTTCTTTAGTTTTTGACCGCAACCACATTCACTTTCAGTCTGTTTCTTTGTTGAGTTTGAATGCTGCGCTGTAGAGTCTTTGCTGTGTCTGCCTGCTCTGGATTCTATAAGTGTATTTAAAAAATATATAATTTTTAGCATCTTTAACATGCAAGTCATCTGATTCCAAAAACTTACTATCGGCATCCAGTGTGAGGAGCAGTGCCGCACAGACGGACACACAGAGGATGGTCAGGCAGCCATTAGGTCTCATGGTGGAAAAGAAACCAGCCATCCACTTCTGTAAAACAACTATCAGTGAAGTTCTGCTCTAGATGTCAATGTCAATGACATGTGGTTTACTTTACTTCCTGCTTTTGAGTACTGTCTTCGGCGTATGCATACCCCCATTACACTACATGTCACAGCACAGAGAAGGACATTTCAGGCACACACAGAGTTAAAGACAAAAAACAGTCAGCAGCGAATGATGGATGTAATCTTATTTGAAATCAAACAGTTAAGGATACACATTATGTTATGTGATTGCACAAAATGATTAGATCGTTATTACATTCTTGATTTCCCAGTTTGAGAAACACAATAATTATTTTAAAAAGAAAGAATTACAGAAGGTCATTAGTCATTCATGTAGTCAGACAGTGAGTTTGTAAGCTCGTGAAACCATTACTGTTATTAGATATGAGGTTACTCGACAGAGTAAATTCAAGTCACGGACGTGCAACAGCACAAGGACACAGTTTTAACCCACAGTGAGTGCGTGACACAAAACATTCAAACCCAGATGGCAAACAAATCTATATTTGTTGAAGACATTTTGTTACTGTTACTAGAACAGGAGTAAATTATGAGATGGACACCAAACAGACGGTCGAGCTTGGTTGCACTCCGTTTCAATTGGGCACGTTTGGAGTGCACCCATTTCTTATTGGTATATGATGACCTCACACATGTCCAGCAGAGTCTTTTGACCAAATTGTGAAGATGCTAATTTTAGCATAGGGCTAAAGTTGAGCTCCTCTGGGATGTGGCACTTTGAAATGTGGTCCTCTGGTGTTAACAGTTGCTGAGTTTACATCAAGACGTCATGCTCTTCAGTCTCATGGGTGACGGGTCTTTAACGCGGATAGCCGCGTATTCCGATGTCTCCTCTCTCGGCATCCGCGGCCGGGCAGCAGCCGCCGCTGGAAGCTGATGGTTGAGAGCAGCATACACAAGAGAACCCCCCGCTTCCTGCACCGCGACCCCCCGTCTCTCTCGGTCCCCTCTCCTCTTGCCGTACACGTGCTCGTTGTCTTTCGGCAATGGCGGCTTGTTGGGCTGTGAGGGCGGGGTCTTTCTCCGGGTCGACCGCCGACATGGCGGAGCAGAGGGTCTTCCTCTTGGCAGAGGCTGAGGGCTGGCGTGCAAGAAGGGTTGCTCGACCATGGGGATCGCCATGTACTGCAAAAAAAAAACATCTTACATTAAAATATTTTAAGAATTAAAAAAAAATGGATGTAACGGTTTGAAATGCACTTTTTTCTTACCCGATTTTCCGTTTGCGTCTCTTTCTTTGATTTTGATTTGCCTGCATGTTGACATTTTGCTGAAGTTAGTTACTGTTTTTAAAGTCACAATCACGTCCCGTATGAAATATTAATCCAACTTCTCACCTTTACACCCTCGCATTGATACGACCGATATAATTATCACTATGATGACGAACGCCACAATCCCTGCAGCAAAGTACATGTACAGCCATAGATCTTCTGAGGGTTTCTGATCCAAAGTTCTTCCTGCTAGAAGAAGTGAACATGAATGTGTTTGATTCTAAGTAATAAAGGCTACTAGTGTTTGAAGAATTTAGATTCAAATGAAATGTCAGTTTCACCGCACAACACTAGTTTATTCTTACTTGTGTCATTGTTCTTTGTAACATTGGTACCCCCACCATCACCTATAAAACAAAGCACAGCAGCAATGTTAAGTCTCATGATATGAAGACAGACATTTTGTTAAAATGTATTAAGTAGCAGTTAAAAGTCTCACTCACCGTGGACAGAGACGTTGATGAAATGACTGACACGTCCTCCACCTTGACACTGATACGCACCTGAGTCGTTTCTGCGTACCTTTTGAAAGATCAAGAATGATCTCCCTTCGAGATGTTTTAAAAGTTTCCACTCCGTTTTAATGTGACTGCTGCTGCTCACGTTGACGGGGACATTAGATGTCTCACTTTTGTACCAGGAGACTGTAGGCGGTGAACCGCTGCAGAATTCAACAGTGCAGTAAATCCGAAGGTCTTCTCCGAGGACGGCTTCATAAACGATGTCTTTAACGACTTTAACTTCAACTCCACAATCTGATTCTTCACCTGCAAAAGGAAAAAACAACAAACACAAACAGAAAAGGTTTATTAATCCTTAGTTTACAGTTAACTGTGATACTAATGTAGCAATTTAATCTGGTACCAGCTAATAAAAGAATTAGGGCTGGTGAGAATTATATATTATGATTTATCTTTCAATGGAATCGTATCGCGATGCAATCATTTATCGAGATATTGTGATAAACTATGATGTCGTCTAAATTGATAATAACAAGCACATACTAACTCAAATTTCTCAGAAAATATATAATAAGACAACTTGGACCCGGATAAGTAGATTAATTAAATCAACATTTTATGAGCGCATAAGGACACTGAACACACGACTTAATACAGTAAAACTAATGACACACACTGAAACTGACATTTGCTTGATGAATGGAAACACAATTTGCATGTACAGTTTTGTGAAAAAGTGTTTTCCCCCTTCCTGATTTCTTATTTTTTTGCATGTTTGTCACACTTAAATGTTTCAGATCATCAAACTAATTTAAATATTAGACAAAGATAACACAAGTAAACACAAAATGCAGT